TTGCTTGCATAGGCTGATTAACGCTTATGAGTGTGATTAAAATGCCACGAGCGGCACGTTAAGCGGGGAATTATGGCTTTAACAAACAGTTGGCATTAGTCAGCCATAGAATCGTTTGATTTATAGACTAAAATCACAAGCCAACTGACAGATAGAAATGCAGGCGGATAATTGGAGCTCTTAGCTGAGAGAGAATCTCTAACGGTGCATGATGTCATCCCAAAGAGTTTAGCCACATTGGTTTACAAACTGAAATCAAAATGCAAAATGCAATGTATAAACAAAACTTTTGTCGTAATCAAATTTAAATTTAAATGCATTTACAAGCGCTATATATATTTACAGTTGATTGCTGCAATTAATTCATATAAAGTTAACTGCATTTACACTGTGATTACGCGAAACTTTCATTCACAATCGTTTAGTCCATCTGCCATCTGACAAGAACATGAAACAGTAATCACAATTTGTGTTGCATTTTTGCTCGAATTCTGGCAGTGACCGCTACATGGACAAATTGCCAACTGGTAACTGGCAACAGCAGTGACCACAACATTGACAACAGCCACGCCCCCTAACAATAGCAGCCGTGTACAGTGGGCAAAGGACAACTTTGAAAGGCAAATGAGAAGCAGCGCACATTTTTAAATTTCTGTTAAAAGTAAGTGTATTCTAGTCGAGACTGCTCGACTAGGAGATTCCCTGAAACCTGCATAGGGCTATATCAACTGTGCTCGTCATCCTGATCAAACATTTCTGATCTGTCACATTTCGTGTTACATTCATTTCACAAGAATCGTATACCCTGATTTTCCATTGAAAATGGTTCAGGATATAAAAAAAAACTAATATTGGGGCTTAAGAGCATCAATATCTCAAAATATTCATATTCATTTTTTATCTCTATTGCTCTACCTTTACTCTTTAACTTTAACTTGCTTTAATTTTTATTTTGGCTTCCACTTCAACTTTAACTTCCACTTTAATTTTGTTTAAGCTTTGATCTTTATATCTCCTCAATCAAAAATCTTACGATGTTTGTCATCAGCATTTTCTAAACATATTATTTATTTATTATATTGTATATTTATTATTATACAAATTTCAATAGTCTGGCACCACTGTGCGCAGTGCAATCGATACAAATTATACCGAAAGCAAACAACAATGCCATAAGCAGAGCAGCCCAGTAATAAATGGCAAACTGCATTCGTTATACCTCGCAGACAAAGAAAACGCTAATGGGTCTGATGCATCTGCCTCTGACTGCGGCAGCAAAGTGAAAGATGATTCTAAGCTTAAAGAGTACTGAGTGCGAAAGATGAGTATGATTGAACGACTCATCAAAATGATCAGAGAATGATGCAGCTGACTCTCAGCAGCTCAGATGATCTTGGGCAAAACTCATTGCAATCGCTCATAGTTCTGAGAGCTTATATGATTAAGAGAGCTAAAAAACTGTTTAAACTATTTTCCTGTATTCATTCGAAATTTTTATCATTCATGAGTTTCGTCAGATGATCTTGAGCAATGGCACACAGATCATAAAGCATGAAGTTTATGTTCTCTGGAGTTGTTCAACTATTTTCTGTTATCGAGCTGATCAACTTAATATTATGTTTCATTTATGAAATCCCAAACTAGTTTTTCATCTATTTATTTTATTAAACCAAATTGCAGCAATATTTTGTTAGCTGTGCACAGGGTATTCAAACTGAAACATGCAAACAACATGTGAAATGTTGTTTTTGTCATTGCGCCAGAGGCAATAGAACTCATCACAGCTGCAAGTGAAAGTCGAATATGCAAAGGACACACACACACACACACACACACACACACACACAAATATGTACAACAAACTGGCTAATATAGGCTAATATGTATATAGAGTGGGCGGGTCAGTCATAATGTGTGTGCGTGTGTGTGTTTCAGAGTCAACAGCTATTTGCAGTCACGCTAAGCGAGAAAAGGATTAGCAAGCGCCCACACACATGTCTGTCAATCCATCTATATAACATTGGCATCTCATCAATATGGCCCCGGGGGCAGTTGGCATTCAAGACGTGCTCGGCATCTTTATGGCCATCTTTAAATTATCAACTCAATAAAGAATTATTCACACATCATATTTATTTGCCAACGCTTGCCCCGCCCGAGCGCCACGCTGCCCCGGCCAGGCCAGGGCTCGCCTGGTTGATGTGTGTTGCTCAGATATTGGTTTGACTTGTTTTTATGGATTTGTTTATAACTCATCGCCTCTCAAATTAGCGATTCGACAGTTGAATTATTTGCTTGGGTGTAGGCGCACACAACGCTTATAAAAGTTTATTTAAAAACAATTACTGTTCAAAGATTGAGCTGAGATTAGCATCGGGTAGGGTTTCAGATACAGCTGACAAGCAGTAGCCGCGCCACATATATGTGTATATATATACAGACATACGTACGTATATTTGTATATTATATATTGGATTACAGAATGTAACCAAACCAGTTGAAAGGCTTCGGCTTGCAAGATGCGCCTGACCAAGGTAGTCAAGCGGACACTTAAGGAAAAAATACTAAAAGGAAGCATCAAAGCAGAATGAAAACGGCTATTCGAAGTTGTAATACCCTAACATTCTAACACCCTAACATATGCAAATGCATATTTGTAAAGTAACATTTATAAGATATGTATATAGTGAGTAGTAAGGGTAAATTTTAGTCGAGCAGTTTCGAGGAGAGAATCTATAATTGTTTAACTTTTCAAAAGTAGTTTAAATTATTTTATTAAATATTTTATATTTCTTATTGAACTATTTTAATTAACAATTCATTTTTATATTTCTTCATTTGTTATATAAAATGATAATAATACTCTCCGTTACTTTTCCTAGACTAAACTCAATGTGAATTCTATTTATGGAATTCAGACTTGCCCATTCAGACATGCATTTTGAATGCCCTACGCCACGCCAGAGTGAAGGAGTATACAAAAACTGGCATTCAAGGCCAACTCAAAGGGATTCAAGGTTGTAAATTACCTGGTTTCAGCCAGGAAGCAGCCAACTTGAAGCTGCAGCTGCAGATTGTTGTTCTTGGCAATCTGTGCGAAAACGGGTTTCACAACAAAGGCAGCTTCCGAATTCCGAACTGCCTAATGCAATGCGAGCTTATGAAGCACAACAAAGGCAGCGATACTTACAGGGTATCTGCAGAACATCCATTATGCATCGAATTGGTCTAATGCACAAGCTCAAACACCAACCGGAAAGTGAAACACAAACCAAATGTCACGTATACGCCATGTGAAGCAGCCGGTGAACATTAATACCAATAAATATTGACATACTTTGTGCAGGAGTCAACACCCGGTATCGAGTATAGACATATGTCCAGATATATATATATATATATATATATATATATATATATATAGACTGATGCGGTCCTTGCTAAATGCTATGTTTGCTAAAGGATATACAAAATTAATATGTCAAATCAAATTGATTTATGGCCAGTTGATTTATTCATCTGCCCGACATTTGTTTTGTTCTGTGTTTCGAAAACATTTCGTGTTCCCAATTTCGTTTTAGCCAACAAATCTTTAAATAAATAATTTGATGTATTTGGCTTTTAATATGAAATTTTATTTTTTGTTTACTTAGGGGCGTGATCGATCTCAGTTGAAATAGAAGATGCATATGATATAAATAAGTTTATGTTTCACTTATCAAATCTCATAGTCTTCTTAAATTTTAGTAATACATGAAAAGAAAATGTTTTCTGCTTCAGATATTACTGTCATTCTGAGAATAGTTGCAAATTAATGAAATAATTTTGATGTATTATGTAACTTATATTAAAACAATTTTTAACTCTTTAAAAATCAACCGTTATTCGCTTGAAGTAAACCGTAACTTAAGAGGATCTACGACCCAGCTAATTCTGCTTAAATTTCACTTACAGAATTGGTAAAACATTTTTCAATATAAGATTACACTTACCACTTGAATTCAAATTGCATTTGCTTCAGTATTATTTTTATTTCGTATAGTTTTTCTTGTTTATTATTATTATTTTCTTTTACTTCCTAAAGATTTGAAATATTTGAAGTGCTGTGCAGTTTAGGTAGGTGCATAATTTACAATTGGATTAGAGTTAGCATCAAGGTGGATCTTTAACTGCAGCTCAACTACGAAAAATGTTGGGAGCTTAATACATAAGACTTTTGTATAAGAGTACAAATGCTACGTGCTGCTGCAGAATCAATTGATATAATTAATTTGTACATAAATTTACGAAAACAAATAAACTATAAGAGAAAACTCTCAGATACGTTTCAATTCAATTCAGAAACGAACCAAAAAAAGAAATTCTACCAGAAAATATGCAAAAATTACAAGTGGAAACAAATAATGAAACTAAAAGAAATGTTGAAGAAATTCTTTTGTTTTTTTTTTTTTTTTTTTTTTTTTGAAAAACGTTGGATAGAAATAAAAATTCTGGTTGGTGAACTTACTGCCAGGAGAAGCTGCCGGTGATGCCATCTTTGAGTCGATCCCTCAGCGAACGCTGTCGACTCGGACCGGAGCCGGTGAGCGGGGGCAACATCGTATTCTCGCCATCCTCCAATACCGTAACGATATTCGATGCGGATGTCGATATTGGGGCGCTGCCGGCATGCTCCATTATCGGTGGCTGCTGCTGGTGGTGGTGCGGATGTGGCGAGCCCGGTGAACCCGCTGGCGAATCTCTGTTGTTTAGATGGCGTCGGATCGAGCCGTGACGCGGTGAATTTTCGCGTGACATTTTGTGTTTTGGTTTATTTTTGGTTTTTGGTTTTAATTTGTTTTGTTTTTATTGAACAGAAATTTGCATAAAATAATTAGAAGCATAAAATAATTAGTTCCAATTATTGAAAGTTTTCTTTGGTTTTAAGTTTTTTATTTTATTTATTAATTTTTTTTTTTTTTTTAGATGAAGAAAACGAGCGAACTTGCTTTGTTGTTGTATTTTTTTTTTTGTAGGTGGTGAATTTATTTATTATTATGATTGCACATAGAGCCAAAAAAATGTTGTGTAAAAGTTTGCTATAAAAGGGAATTAGGCATAGACAAAAAAAAATTAGTTGAAATAAAAGAAGAAGAGAAAGAAAACGTATTCCCAATGGAGATACATACGTAGAAAATTCACAAGAAAATAGTTTTAGAGTTCAGTTTCAGAATTATTTTGAAGAGTGCTTTTTGTGTGTGTGTGTGTGTGTGTGGAGTATAAGAGCATATGAGTATAAGAGCATGTGGAAATTGAAGTAGAAGAGTTCTGCACAGATGTGGATAGCTATAGCTAGTTATAAGAGTTAGTTAGAAGAGTAAAATTTTAATGCCAAATAAATACGAATATGAATATATAGAGGCTGTCTTAAATTAGTTATCAGGCGTTCTCAAGCAGCATGCACGTGTTTACTGATTAATTAATTAATTAATTATTATTTTAATTATTGCGTAAGCAAATTAAGCGGTTGGAATATTAATCGATAGCAAAGTAAAACGCACATAGTTAGCCCGTGTTTATTGCTCACGCATTATCATAATCCAGCATAATCGCGTAGCCTAGGTGTATCCAAATTTCAAATAGCAAATCATACGAATCGGACGTATATAACTATTTACATATATGCATATAGCTCTACGGGTGTGGTAGGCGCTTCTATATATTGTTTAGTATATATATGGATAGTCGGGTTTTGGGGGGGATGTCAGTCAGCGTTTAGTATTTGTTTTTGGGTTTATAACATTTAAAGGCACACAAAAGTAGTATATATACATATAGAGGTATATATACAGGAAACGATATTCTTATAGATAGTACGAGTATTAAAACGTTTAGTAAACAGCAAGTTGTGTGTACATTTAGGCAGACATTTGTTAGAGAGTGTTAGGCAATCTATATATTGTGGACATTCGATATTCGATATTTGATATTCGATATTGATATTTCAGTTTTTGCTTTGTCTTTCGCTCTTCCGTTTTCAGCTGTTGCACAAATATTGACATACAACTATTTTATATCTATATTGGTATAGCTGGATAATACGTCTAGGTGTCTGTTTTTGTGTGTATATTTCTGTGTGTCAATGGGCATAGCTGTTATACGAGTATTGTGTTTTAATTAGTATTGCGGATATTCATAATTTAATTAGCAATAGGCATAGGCTTTATAGATTGAATATTGTAATCTTCATTTGTGTGGCTGTATGTGTGTGCGTGTGTCTATTATTGTTGTCGTTGTTGTTTTTTCTCTGTCTGCCAATGTCATTAGTTTAGGTTTATTGCTGTTTGTGTATTTGTGTGTACTGTATTTATTATCTTTATAATATGTATATTATTAAGTAGATTGGATAGTAGATTTAGTGGGCAACGAACCTGGAAAAAGAAAGAAATTTTTAATCAATACATTTTAAAGAAAAAATATATTTAAATATACATATACCTAATCTGAGATATGTATAAGAAAATTCATATTTTTTGTTTGTGCACATATTTAAAAAATATATATTTAAATCAAATTAAGACCTTCATGGTTTTATGAAGCGCTAAACACATAATTTATTGTCGATTTTTATCGATATCTTAGATGCATTCATGAAGGTGTTTAAAACCAGCTTTGGAAAAACAGCGTAAGAGGTTACACATTAGTCATTAGTTATTAGGCATTAATCATTAATCATAAGTCTATATGAATGATTTATATTCATACAGTTTGAGATCCTCAACTATATTATTCAAAATTTAACAAATATTATATTTATATTTAGCTTTTCCAACATTATCAACACTCCCCTTAAATTTAGGCGGATTCTTGCTTATCCACATTGTGGCATGTGCTCTTCTGGCTTTAAGTCATGCAAGTTTATTCAGACATATATATTCCTTTACATATTCTATAGAATTGCATTCCATAAAAAAATTGCATATTTGGTTGGACATTTAACAAAATAATGAATAATCGAAATGCTCATCATAAATTAACAATCAACAGCTGAAATTCATTACATACTTTAAGGCTGGCGCGGAAAATGAATACCAACTACAATTGTACCCAGCTATACTGTGTAAAGTGTACCGAAATATAACGAGCTGCTTTGCAACCAATTCGACAGTGTTAAGTGTACCTCGACGAGTACCAAAGTGCTTTGGTAGGTATATACACTTGATGTATGTATACATGTATAGTTCTGTTTGCACATCGCCACTGATCCATTATACTCTTTTTCTGACATGAATAATTCATTTTGGGGCTTTGGTTATTTGACAGCTGTGCGGGGACGGAGCGGCATTTTAAATGCATCTTGACATTGGACTTTGTGTCGAACACACGAACTACGGCCAGCGGGCGCATTTCAAGGTTTGTCAACAATGTGTTGAGGGCGTGGCATTGCATATCCTGTTTTATCCGTTTGAGCACTTTACACAGATTTGGCTGAACCAAAGCCAGCAGAGGCTGGCTTGATTGTATTGTGTGCGACTGTGACACGGGCTGAACAGGCGTTTAGCCTGTTGACACTTAAAGGTTTGAATATAAGTATCTGTATCTCTGTATCTGTCTGTATTTGTGTATATCTATGGGCCAGGCATAGATACAGATACAGAAATAGAAATGCAGGTACAAATGCAAATATAATTAAAGATGCAAAATGCAAGGTACAAGAAACAAGATACAAGATACAAGATACAAGATACAAGATACAAGATACAAGATACAAGATACAAGATACAAGATACAAGATACAAGATACAAGATACAAGATACAAGATACAAGATACAAGATACAAGATACAAGATACAAGATACAAGATACAAGATACAAGATACAAGATACAAGATACAAGATACAAGATACAAGATACAAGACACAAGATACAAGATACAAGATACAAGATACAAGATACAAGATACAAGATACAAGATACAAGATACATCCGCATCTGTATCTGTATCTGTATCTGTATCTGTATCTGTATCTGTATCTGTATCTGTATCTGTATCTGTATCTGTATCTGTATCTGTATCTGTATCTGTATCTTGTATCTTGATCTATATATATATATATAGATCATTTTCTCCCCGATCTCTTTCTCGGTCTCGATCTCTTACTTGTATCCGTACACTATCCTCATATATGTTGTGCGCTTTATCAAGCGTATCTCTATAGATGCAAAGGTTGAGCAGGGCTCATTATGATTATTACGAGCAGTTATTCCTGATATTGTTGTAGTTAATGCCCCGCCTTTCACGCGTTGTCTGTTGCTCTCAAACAATCCCAATCTCTCACAGTTTGCTCTTCCTTTGCTGCTGCTGCTGCTCCTGCTGCCTTTGTGCAGCATTTTGTTGGCCACAATGTTGTCGCTGGCGTTGCATGCGCTGTATGAAAACTATAAAATGAGCAGCAAATGCCGAAAGGCGGGCGGATAGGCGGGCAGCCCGGCCGAGGCACATTTAATGCTCGCACTTAGAACGCATTACATTAGGGACTGCACAGTGGTACGCATTGCATTATATTTAAGCAAATTGTATGAGCGACATTTCTTGGTAATAGCTCACTCTTATAGCTTTTGGTAATTTATACCAATTTAGTCTTTTATCATAAGTTAAAATATATCATTTTATATGTTCATTTTAAACAATTTTTACAAGACTTAAACTCTTTACGAGATAAATACATTTACTAGACAGATGAATTTAGTACTATAGTTTTGGTGCTTTATGAGCCTCGTTCATATAGTATATGTATATATTGATGCCTGTAGCTCTTATATTATCAAGAGATTTCTTTATAAAGCAAGACTCTTTTCTGCCACTGTACCTCTGGCTATGGCTGTGGCTGCGGCAGTAGCTGTATTTGTGTGTTGTCATGTGCGACGAACTTGAAAAAGTGTATGTGTGTGTGTGCCTGTATACATATATGTATGTATGTGTGTATGTGTGTGTGCTTTTAATATGTGCTCTTGTATTAATGTCTCGGCTGTGTTGAGTAATGAATGCCGCCTGCCACAGCATTGAATGCGAGAATCCAATGTCCTTACACGCGTCTACGCCCACAACAATTTTGAAGGCTATGCACTTAAGCGAGGTCGTAAAAAGCTGAAAGACAAAGAAAGAGCAAGGGAACAAGCGGCACTGAGAGAGAGAGGGAAAGAGAGACAGAGAGAGAGAGAGAGCAAAAGAGAAAGAGAAAGTCAGGAAGTGTTACATAAAATGTTTGCAAAAACTTTAAGCCTTTTGAGACGCAGCATTTAATTTTTGGTTACACTACGGTCATACACATACAGTAACTATATAAGTGTTGGTGTGTATGTGTGTGTGTGTGTATGAGTTGTGCATAATTTCCGTTTCCGCTGTGCTTCTGTAATGTTTCCTGACACCTCGCTTGTTGCCGCTTGTCGCCATTTTTACCCTTTTCATTCATAATTGCAGGATGCTAGATTTCTTTTTTCTCTCTTTCTCGCTCGTTCCTGCAGTTTGTTTGCATGCGCAAACAGCAAGGATATCCTTGAGTTGGCAGTGAAAAAATATTTATACTGCGACTGCACTTTTAGCCAAAAGCCAAAGGCAAAGCCCCAGCCTTAGCCATAGCCAAAGCGGATTAAAGTCTTAAAGCATCATCAGTCCCAGCTCTCAGTTCGCATAAATTTCCACTCATTTAGCTCTAATTGAGTTTGGGGAGCGAGAGCGTGGCCAATGCATTAGCTGCCCAATTTGACCATTGGGGTTTACAGTTAGTTACCCTACTCGACGGATGCATTGTGCCTTCTGGCATGGTCATATGCAAATTACATGCCCATATTTCACATCCACATCCGTTGACAATGACCAAAGGGGATGCCCAGAGGGTGTATACGTAATGTATGAGCGCATCCAGGGCGTATACGTATTTCAGCTTGCAGTGCGCCAAATCGAAAAATCAGAAAATCTGCAAATCTAGCCCCCAGCAGCGAACGCACACAAAACCAATGTGGACCACGCTCGGCGGGACCTGTATGTATGTAATTTATGCATAAAATGGAGTCATTTCGGCCCATGGCACATAAAATATGGACATTAACATTAATCAGTGCATATATGGCTGATCGGGCAGTTGATTCACTTCATTGAACTGCAATGGCTTAAAACTAAATTACCTATTGACTGAAACTATTGTTATACAACTGGCTCAGAGCATCTGGTTGGATGAGCTCTATTCGAATTTGATACAAATAAAGGATTTCGGAATTCATTAGTTTCCTAAATTTATAGGGTATAAGAAAATATTTTCTGTACAACAATTTGACTCTAGGTAGAAAAACACAATTTAATATATTGATATCTAACGATTTAGTGAAAATAATAATAATAATAATCATAAGAATAGTAATAAAAGCACTTCAAAAAAAAAAATTGATTTTAAGTAAAAGACCTACAATATTTCTCATTTATTTCGTTTTTATGAAATCAGTTATTGATAGAATCGAGTATATGACGAACTCGATTATGAAGATCGATACATCCATGGCTAGATCGACTTAATAAAATATGAAATACTTGATTGAGATTGTGCATGATATATTTCATTAAAAATTATCAAGAAAGTTTAATCAATGTAATAAATAAAAAAAAAATAAAACAAAATTATATGTGTATAACTTAAACTTAAGTTACTACATCTCTATTTTAATTTTGCATTTCTTTTATTAATCATATGGAACAAAATATTTATAAATTTATAAGAAGCATATCCAAGCACTTGGACAGATGCATATCTTGCGAGGACTATTTGTTCTTAGAATTAATGTGAACAGCGTCTTATACACGGAGCTCTCTCTCCCTCTCTCTATCTCTCTTTGTCGTTCGGCCCTCTCTTATTTGTAGAAGGAATTAGCATACGTATTTGCATTTCCGTTTGTGGCTTCTTCTGTCAATTATGCCGCATGCATTTCAAATTGCAATATGTGCACAGTCGAAAGCAGTCGAAAGCCTGTGTGCATGCAGATTAAGATATAACAAAAGCAAATTACATGAACAGATTTAACAGTGGGGCTTACAGGTATTTCTTTCCCTCTCTCTCTCTCTCTCTTTAGCTCTGTACGTGCTGTGTTTACAGTATATTACGTATACGCGAATTGCAAACAAGAGTCAACAAGAGTCTGCATTTGTATTTACCCCAAAGGCAGTCAATTGAGACCATTGTTATAGTTAGCTGAATTATTTAGCAATTTCAAGTTGTGAACAGCAAAAGGAAATTTACTTTGTTTTTAGTCTCAACTATTTTCAAACAACATTCAATTTGATTTAATACAGAAATATTTTTGTATCTTTAGTATTTCTTTTATAAAACACATCTTATTGCCAAAGTCATACGTCAGTTAGTTAGTGAGGCAGTTCAAACGGCTATACTACCTATATATATAACTATCTATATATACAGGTAATACCTAATTAGTAAATTGGTTAGGCTGCCAATATATCATTTTTTAATATTTCAAATTATTAGCGGGCTCTCAGTCAAGCTAAAAGCCGTTAATTTACTAGCACACCTGCTAGTTAAGACTTAATGACAAACCCACAAACACACACACACATTAGTTGTCACAGGTTTTTGCACGAAATTTGTCAACATATTAATTAACTCATGCGCGCTGGCGGCACTTAAAACAAATACAGGCGGGGCTGTAAGCAATGATGATAGTATAGAAGGATAGTTCTCATTGAGTTGAGAGCTGAGCGCAGGAATCTTATGATGTCTGCTGCGAAGTAGTTGAAGGTGAAAATTGACAGCCATCAAATGGCGACAATTATAGTTACGATCTGTGCCTGAAAATATCCAATTTCGAACTCCCACTGTGCGACGTGTGTCCAGCCCAAAGCAATAAACGAGGCTTGTACGCTTCACAATGCCGCAATTAATGGCCAAAAGTGAAAGTCCTGTGGGCTGGCTCAAAAACTGTCGAGGAATCGGGATGGCTAACACGAAATGTATGCGCGATTGGCACGCGAATAGAAGCCACAGACACAGATACACACGCACACACATTTACATATATAGACACACGTACACAAACAGAGAGACAGCCCACGCAAAATGTTTCCGCCTGGGCAGAGGAAAATACTTTTGCTTTTTCTTTTGCTGAATGAATACCGCGCATAAAATGGCCCGAGCTGCGTCTCTCGCTCGCTTCGCTCTGCGTTGCTCAGTTGTGGGCTCTCTTTCACGCACGCGGCAAAACAAATGTAAAAAAAAAAACACAAAGAAAAAGAGAAAAGAAAGTCTAGAAAAAACAAAACCTTGTCAAGGACAAAGCACGCAACGCAGCCGAAATCAGCTGAGCAGCCAGTTAACAGTTGTTGCTGTTAGCGCTCTCTCATTCTCTCTCTGTATTTGCCGCTCTCTCATTTTTGTACGATGCGCCCGCTGTTAACACCGACAGCGCTGTTGGCAGCAATGTGAATGCCCTGTTAGCTAGAGGTAAACATTTCCAAGAAATATTGTTAATTGAGTTTCTTCACAAAGCAAACATTAACAAAAACAAACTTGTGCAACATAATTGAATTTTCAATATCCTGCAGAACGACGAAAAAGAAACAAAAAGAAAAATTTATTCACTTGCAAATATCAACAAATATTTCCTTTTGATTTTTTTCCTTTTTATTTTGATTTGGCCACCAACAAAATTGAAATTGTTCGTATTTCTCTTTTATCAGACACGAAGGCCCCATGTAAGATATCTGAAATTGTGTGTGTATATACTTGGGTCAAGGGAAATCAAATAAATTAACCGAGTCTTAGGCTTTGAAACGAAATTTAAAGGCGCATTACAAATTGCAATAATCAAATCGCAATGGGGCAAGCAAAATGATGATCCTTAAGATTGATGAGCTCAAGGGAGTAGTTAATTGCAGGCCTAGCTTTAAATAGTATATAAGCTTATATATTGTATATATATCTGTGAAAAGCAGATAAAGAAAGTTAACATTAATATTCCTCTTCAGTCTCTGCTTCTTTCAATCGTGGGCCCCCCTCTTTCACTTTCTTTTCAGGCCTTTTGCTAACTGACCAGAAAATGGCTAAAGTACTTCAAGTCGACATCCTCAAGAGCAGCAAAAAAGAAAATTAAAAGGAAGCCAAGCCAAAAGCAATAAACGGCACAACAAATGAAATGGCGACAGCGCAGCTGGGGTAGCCAGGCACAGGTCCTGGCCGAATGCACAAACATACTTACTGCCATGAGACAAACAAACAAACAATACAAGCAACAACAATGGACCTGGCTAACAACAAAAAAGCAACATATAGCAGGAAAAGCAGACCTGAAGGACATGCCATAGGCAGGATATATGTCGGGGAGCGGAGGAGCTAACGAAAAGGAAGCATTATGTTTTAGCAAAAAAAATAATAATAGGCAGCCAAATGAGAATTTAGCCTACGTACAAGGATAATTTAAGATGAAAGACTTGTGATCATAATCATGTCTCTGATGCCAAAAAGCACACATAGAAAGGACTGGCAACTAGTCCCCAATGATAATTAACTAGAGATAAGGCAATGCTTATACTTACTATTCTAAATAAAGGAAAATAATGATTTAGACAAAAAAAAAAAAACAATTAGGAAAATTAACAAGCAATTGAATCGACCAAAAACTAGGGCTGGGATAGATAGGTAGCTCAGATAGGATGGCTAGGTAGACTAGCCAGCGTTCAACGGACCGATAATCAATAAATGTTGTGGAAAATCTAAGACTGAGTTGTAACGCATGCAGCAGCTGATGTCAAACAAACCAAAAATGAATAAATAATTGAAAAGTAGAAATTCAATAATGTTGACTTCATTTCGTTCTTGATATATTTCAAAATATATCTAATCACTTACATTGCTTTTGTTGTCGTTTGCTTATAGATCTCTTTATGGGAACTGTATGCGTATGCGTAATATTCGTAATCGCTTTTAATTGACAATACAAAATAACCGATACAATATAACTAATACTTGTGGTCGCTCTTTGTGCACGGCAAAACACACGCACACACTCACACACAATTCTATACACAGTCACGCGCCAAACGTACACACTAATACACACGCACCGACATATACATACATATGCTGTGATTTATATAACACAATGCTTAGCCTCGTCAATATGCTCTTGAGTACTGTTTAAAAACCGACTTAAAAACGTATGTTGAACAGAAAAAATATTTAATATTTATACATTCGAGTCAACCATATTTATGGCATTTTTTATTTTTAGCTGCATTTCTTTTTTTTTTTTTTTTTTGTTCAGTTTGTTTTTGCTCGGTTTTTGTTCTAGTTGCTGCGCACGTTTTGTGTTTGCCTTGACTTGCACGCTCAACTGTTCACGATGTACTGTGCTAACGGTATTTGCTTGCCAATCAAGAGAGGGAAGCACGCACGTAAAAGAGCGTCCTCTATGCAGGATTGGTTGAACTGGTTGCAAGGGCGATTGTGCTCTCACTTACTCTGTTATGTATTTAAAGGAACAGCTTCTGTTAATGTTAACAGTGTTGCTTTTGTAGCAATTTTAGCATCAAATAAGAAATATGAACACAATTCGAGTTCTAGATAATTATTTATTAAATTGAATAGCAAAAACAAAAACGATTCTCTAAAAATATTTATATTAAGCGTATGAGCAAATATTCATATCTGAGTGTTAGTTGATTCATTAATATTCCATTAAGTCTACAACTAATTAACGTTAACTTTTTTTGTTATTTATGACATGATTGAAAACTTTTGCTTTCGCCGACATTAACAGTAGACTGTAAACTTCAAAAACCACAAACTGTTTGCAGTTGTTGCTGTCACAGAACTTTCACTATCAACAATCGGCATGTGCCTAAGTATGTGTGCATATATGTGTGCACGCGCTCTCTCTCTCTCTTTTTCTCTATCTCTCTTTTTCCGCTGTTCTCTGGATGTCTGTGTTTATTGTTATTTCTGCATTTAGCTTGGGTACGGCTTTAGACTGCTGCGCACTCTCGCTGAGAGCGGCGTCAGCAGATGTTGTTGTCGTTATTGCTGCTATTGCTGTTGTTGTGGACAGGCCTTTTTGGCCCACTTAGGGGCTTGTTTTCGGTTTTCAATGTTAAGTGCGATGAGAGAACTGCTTCAACGGGCAACAGCCGAAAGGATAGAGGTAAGGCGATAGGAAGGCCAAACGCACACGCCAAACGACTCCCACGCAAATGGCTGGCAGCTAAATCGCTGAAGTCTCTGACACTTACCAAGTATGACACACAAACGCACACATAGGCATAGACAGACAGTCACCCACACACACAATCAGCGTATCGCAATTATTTATTATAGAATACATATGTCTCGACGTTTTGTGCCATTGTACATCGAAATTGGACAAAATTGATTTACTGCCAATTACAATTTCACGCACACACGCAGCTGCAAGTTCTTCGCGAAAATTGTCTATTGGGTAACTGAGTTAGTTTAAGCTTAGGTAAGGTCAGCAATTCAAATCTATGGAAATAAGCCGAGCTATCTATGCAAATACGACAATCAGACTAAATGTAAACATAATTCATTTGCTTTACAAGAATTCCAACAACTCCATTCTATTACGAACAAAAAGACAATGAAAATGTCTGTTGGGTTATCGCTGTTTATGTAATGTGCGTTTGTTTCTATTTCAATTTTTGTTGTCACTTGCAATTTCGACTCAGTAGGTTCAACGGACAAGCTAACCCACGCGTGTGTCTTGTCATTGTTCGTTCGTGTGTATGTATACGTGTGTGTGTGTGTGTGTGTGTGTGTGTGTGTGTGTGTGTGTGTGTGTGTGTGTATGTCTGTGTGAGAGTCTGTTTTGTAACCGTTTTGTTGCTCTGTTTGATAGAATTTCTCGCTTTGACCTTGTAGGCGCGTTTGTACAGTTATTGATGCCTATAACTGCTATTGTAATAATTGTTGTTGTTGTTGTCCTGACACGTGGCAGCGTTGATTAAAATTTGTATTTGCTGAGTGGGCTTCAATTGGTATGAGTATCGTATTCGGAGTGGTCAAAAGGAATAACAGCCGGATATTCTCATTGGCCTTGAGAAAGATTGATAAAGTAAATGGGTCTTAGAAAATATACATCTCTAGACATATATACATATATATACGTGAATATACATATATGTATAAGCGAGCTTGATTTGTCTAGAAATTTCTTGAATCTCAGCTTAGAAGCAGAGTGATAAAATGTATAAATAACGTTACCGGATACAGTGCTGAGGCTTCTAGTTTATAAGACTGGCTTATTTTAAATAAGTTTTTAATATCAAACTGCCTTCCTTCATTGGCTTTAAAAAAGAACCAGTCCAGCGCACAAAAGGAGGCAACACTTTTTTTATTGCTCAGTCATGCAGGCGTGCGTATATGAGGCGTGCACGTGTGTGTGTGTGTGCGAAATAAATAGCGAGAAAGAGGGAGAGCGAGAGAGAGAGTGAGAGAGGGGGGTGTTCATATGTGTTAGAGAGAAATAGGGAGCTACATACGTTTATATGGCTAGTCACGCCCACACTTGTGCATAATATTATAATATTTTGTTGCCCATGGCACAGAACACATTCAGAACAAAACGTTCGTCAATCTGTCAGTTTGTCAAGTCAATCGGCATTTTTAACTGCGCGTCGTCATTCAGCAATGAAGGCCTTTGAAGGCTGGCCGGAACCCGCTGATAAACAAGAATCGATAAAGCCAAACGAGATGTTTTGGCCGAAACATATTCACAACCAAAAATACATATCCACTATGAGACTGTGTCGATAAAATCGAGCTATTATATGAGTTAATTTTAATAGGAACTGAAACATAAGCAAATATATCAACTCTAATTATATATACAATAAAAGAGGTCTCGGGGGGTATGCCCAACTAGAACTTACGCTGCAATTACCTTTTTTACATATGTACATATATTTCTTAAAACGAAGTTCAATGTCGCTTCATCTTTAAGCAAAAATTTTGTTTTTGTAGAATCAATATATAACATCATCAAAATTCAACTAGACATAATTTGAAGAATTGAGTAATTTATTTAAATATATATTATTCGTTTAAGCTTCTCGGGCTATGCTAAAAAAAAGAAATAGAGAAATTATTATTATTTTTTTTTTTTTATAAATAAAATAAATATCTTTAAGAGGCCCAAATTTAGATAGATGGAAAAAATGAATTTATTAAATAGTTACACACGTGTGCACTACATGATAATATCCTCTTTTAACTCTTTAAATGGTACAAAAAGTATACGCTAAGGACTCTCTGATTATATACTTGACATAATTTTTTTTAGTAATTCTAAAGCTGATCTTTTTTGGCATTAATTCCGCGAATACCTAAGATTAGCTATGACTTTACCTTTAATATTAGATAACGCTTTTCTAGCTAGTTGTCAAGCAATTTAACATCTAAACGGTTACAAGGACAATGCGATTATGCGAAATCTGTGAATATGTTTATAGCTAGAGGCTGCTGCTACTGCTGCAGCGGCTGTTGTTGGCATATGACCTTAGTAAGCCTGCTGACTGACGGGATGTGCATACAAAGCATTTGACTAAGCTCTAAACAAAAGAAACAAAGCAACAGACCGACCAACCAACCAGCCAGCCAACCAACCAACCACCCACCCGCCCAGTCAGTCATCCAGCCAACCAGCTAATAGGCACGAATTTCCATATCTATAGGCAGAAGTAACCTTCGTTGATATGCGCTACATTGCAACACTATAAACAAATTCTAAATTTAAATATAACTTTGGTATAAAAACCAGTAAGAATATTAAAAAAACATGTTTTTTGCAAGTAATTATGATATTTACAGGTGTATATGTGCAACAGATCAAAGCTCTAATAATAGAAAATCATTGGTTTCTTTTTCTAGAAATATAAAGTGGAGAGTACCCTAAAATGCAAATATTCCTAGTCTGAGTATTCATTATAAGAATATGTGCTTCGAATTTAAAATAGCAATATCTAAAATTAAATACGCATAGATTTCAATTTTAAATCTTTAGTGTTTGCAGTTTATAGAACTCTGTATCTGTATCTTTATCATGGATATCTGTTTGAAAGTAATAAATATTTTATTTTTGTAAGTTTCATATTCTGTATTACGATATTGAAATTCGCTACAGTTTGCAGCAGCGTACAATCAAATTTGTTTTTCTTTTCAAGCACCAAACAAAAATATATCAGCTACAGACATATGTATATGTAAGTATATATCTATATATATCTATATATAATGTTTAATCTATTAGTAGACAAACAGCTGGTAATCATTAAAAAGTAAATTTGTTAAAAGTGCAAACAAATAACTGTGAAGGGCTTACACCTGTCAAAACCCGTAATATTAGGTGCTTGAGTAGAAAAGCGCGCGCTAAAGCAAATACACAAACATATATACATATACACGTAGCGCATGTATGTGTGTGTGTGTTTGTGTTTATATGCAATTAAATGCATACTTACATGTTAATATACGTAATTTGCAATTAGTTAATTGGTCTGACATAGAACCGTCGCGTAACCGTATTGCACGTTATAATTAAGTATATAAACATTTAGATAAATAGCTTTATTTCCACTTTTATCAAAACCGCTTGCGTCCGACGCGACGAAGCCACAAAACGAACTAAAATAATCAACGCCTGCTCCGGCAGTGTTAAGAAACGTGATAAAAAAAAGTTCAGGTTTTTGCACAAATTGAATTGTTCTTTTTAATGCAAACAAACTGGTTCGCTTCACATAAATTCAGCTAAATTATAATTTAATCAACTAATAGTAAAATCCTTGTCATGACTACAGTTCTGTGTGAGCATATTCTGTGGGCATCGAGTCCCTGTCCTTTGGCACGATATATAGGCCCTCAGAGGTAGTCCAACGAGTACCGTGCTGTGGACTGTGAAGACCCACAATTTCCATTTGTCCAGAAATCGGTCGACCATACGACCGTCCCGACATGCCCAGATACATGCCCGTATCAACGTGGCGCAATCTGACGTGTGCATCACGCATCCAACTTTCATTGGAGCAGATCACTTCCCAGTTATCGCCAGTATCACCAACTCCATCGACGCCGTAGGCGGATACTTCTTGTTCGCCAGAAAGCGGAGACGAGAAATGATGCGAGTGCAGATTCTTTTTGGTGGTCAAGTGCTCCAATCGAATGGTCGCTCCACAAGCAATGGGCTCACCACGATCGCATAGTTTCTTAGTTTGTGCCTTAACCACCCAATGACTGTTCACATCTTCTTTCTGTTCTACTCCCGTCACCGATTGCTGTCCCGATCCCGATCCGTATTTAACATCGTGCGAGTGCAAGCGATACGAATAATCCGAGTTGAGCAATTTCAGTATGGAACCACATGTCACATAGTTGGTCTGGGCAGCTGAAAGAAGTAGTCGTTTTTTGTTGTTGTTGTTGCTGTTATTGTATTGATAGGAATCAGAAAATTGCGCTTTGTGGGGCGGAAAAGGCTTCGTGGCCAATCACAGCGGCCCACATAAACGCCACAAAATATACGTACCATTGTTATAGGGTATGCTGCTGATCAGCGCTAGAGCAACGAAGAGTAGTGTGTGTATCATCCTGTCTTTCTTCTTATGTTAACAATTAAGTACTTAAGCTAATATTTAGAATGTAAAAATATTGGAAACGCCGATTGCGGCATAGAAATAAGCACACGCAAACAAATGATTTTGACAGATTGTGTTAGTGTTGGTGAGCGAACGATAGAGGCGTGTTCAATAAACTGACTCAAAGAACCGAATAACAGAACAGCTGTTTCCAAAGATTTGCGGCTGAATGGCGACTATCGGCCAATGATAAGCGATATATAATATTACTCTGAAAATAGGGATAAGACTTGACTCAAAACTTTAATTATTGATGCAGTAGCTGCTAAGAGCTAAAATTATGCAATTTTTGAAAAAGCATTTAAAATATGATAACATAACAGCTGCAACACAGCAGTATCAATTGAGTCGAACTTATCGATATGCGATAGGGATTATTCTGCAAATATTGCATTATTTTTTCTGTGAAAATAAGAAAAATTTCATTAAAGCAGAAATTAATGGCACATAAGCGCTTATTTATCTACGCTGTAATATTGGCGATATGTTATTTAGTTGGCGTGACATGGGTAAGCGATGTAGAATTATAAACTACGCCGTAACTTCAATGACAATTGTGTTTGTTTTATTTTGTACAACAAAGGCTGAAACAGCAACACAAACCTTGCCCATTAGCAGTAGCAACAACAGTAGCGGCAACAACAATGTCAGTCCACCAAATGCACCTGCCGAAGCGGCAGCAGTTTCCCCAGCACCAACAATTGCAACGCTAAAGACAATAAGCAGCACAATAACGAGCTCCAATGCAAGCAGTAATTCACATGAATGGTTTGTATGCTCTTTATATACATTTATGAATTTTTATATAAAATATTGCTAAATATTATCGTGTTTAGTACCTGTGCTGGCGCTCTGGCGCCACAATTGGATGCCAATGGCAGGGAGCTTCCCACATGCGCCAAGTGCAAATGCTCATCTGTCGGACGCAATTCCACACTAATAAAGGTGTGAATAATAATATTTAGCTGTATTTGCTCAATTTAGTTTTAATTTGTTATTTTTTTCCAGGTGGTTGTTATCATTGTGATCTGGATAATATCCATTTTAGTGATATATATGCTCTTCCTCATGTGCTTGGATCCGTTGCTAAACAAACGCGTCAAGACGAACAACTATCAGGAGCACACCAATGAAGATGTACATAACACTTATTCTAAATATGCAGGCATAAAATATAGTCAACTAGTTGCTACTCCTGATGATGATGATGATGATGATGTTGATCGTTATCATGATCATGATGATGATGATGAGACGCAGCTAGTTGGCAATAAAGAAACACTTAGCGTTTGATGCCTAATGGCAAAAGGCGATTTATATATATGTATACATCTTTTTGTTTTATTTTATTTAATATTTTTCAATTCGCACGCTCTAACCCAAAGTCTTTGTTGTGTTTATTAATTAACCCATTACCCGGTCTTAACTAATACGCTTCAAATTTTCCTTCTATTTTTGCTGCGGCTGATAGGACGAACCAGCTCCGCCTCTGCCAGCTAGTGCCAACAATCAAGAGCTGAGCGCTCGAGCTAATGTTCTCAATCGTGTTGGCCATCAGCAGGACAAATGGAAGCGTCAAGTGCGTGAACAAAGGCGCCACATCTACGACCGCCATACGATGTTAAATTGAATGGCCAACAGAGAAGCCTTTGGCGTTGGCGACTTAAGACATTGTATTCCGGCGAAAGTTATTAACAATTATTGTTTAAATTTGTCTCTCAATAGATCAAAATTAATTTAAATAATATTTAGCAACATTTTATATAATTTAAATAAAATCATATATCCAATTACGATTAGAATTTTATTAACTTATTAGTCAAGTAGTCTCTCAATCATTTATATATTTTCCGAAAAGAAGCCACAGCTTTTATTAATGATTTTTGTTTCTTATGATACATTATATTTGATAAAATGCAAACTAGTAACCCGAGACGCCTTCAGCAAAGGTCCAGTTCTCCTCCACTTTGAAAGGTCCTTTAATGCTGCAGTCATTGGCAGTGCAAATGCCCACTGTATATTGCGGGAGACTGCGCGTATCACGATAGTACAGAACCTTCATTGACTCGCGAATCTGTAATACAGATACTCGATTAACAAATGTTACACAAACAATGTCGTAGTTTGTTTTCTTACCAAGCTGGTTGCTTCCTCGAATGTAAATTCGCGATCCTTGGGCTTGCGCTCACGCACAAGTGGCAGAGCCAAATGACGCCCAAAGCCGGTTGCTACAACATAATCATCGTACGCTCGTCCACGCAGATCCACATTGCCCAAAAATGGCTTGCCGGCCTCATCGACACCACCCACCACCACATCGATGTAGAGAGGATTCATGCGACAACGGCGATTGTAGAGCACACGCGTTAGCCAGCTGGACAACTCGGCTGGCTTCATGACGACGCCATCATTGCAGCACTGATCCTCGATCATCTTCTGATCAATGCTGCGCTTAATTGACTGTATGTCAGCAAAGTCGCCACCGCCACCAAGCAAAATTTTGTTGTTGATCTGAAAGACGCGTTCGATGTTCTGGTAACGAGCCAGCGAGCCGTACGAGACAAGGGTATCGGCAGCCACCAAGACTCCGCCATCGAATCTAATGCCCAACACTGAGGAACCGGTAGTTATAGCAGCGCTACAAATGTACCAGAATTTAGAATACAATTTAATCTAGAGTCCAATTGCATTTACTTACGTGCTGTGCTTGGTGCCATAGGGACCTGCGGTTGTTAATTCACGAGGCAACTGTGCTGGGGCGTTATTGCCGCCCATGAAGTTGTAGAATTGACCGGGCGAGGGTCCATTAAGCCACATTGGCTGTGCACAGCTGTTATTCATCATTTTAACTGCTGTAATTATAGTACTCTGATATCAAATGGAAATAACAGCTAAAGCAACCGCAGAATGACAGGCACAAATAAAAAGCCGAACAGTTTTAGATAGCGACACAATTAATTACTTTTGCAGCACTGCAAATAGTATTTTTTGCAATATCGATATACTTATCTATCGATAAATGTGACCAGGGTACCCAAACGCTAAGGCGACCGGCAGCTCTGTCACAACAGTTGGGCGCAAAAGATGAAAGTCTGAATTTCAATTTTTTTATGTAGCAAAGCAAAACATAATTTTGATTAAAAATACATGAAAACCTTTATTTTCATAATAATAGAAGATACAAATATATATGTATGTATATTTATTTAATGCACACCTTTCAGGGGAATGTTTCTTAATTTTGCTTGCATCTTACAGATCGCATAATACAGATGAATAGAATATCAAGTACAGAGTTCAGCTTGCTAACCACTAAAAACATTTCTATATATACATCATTTTCAGAATTTTCAATAGTAAAATAATCTACATCATTACAATCTACAGTCACGGCCAATGTTCAATATCTTAATAATTAAAGCTTTCCCAATTAAGTGCTAATCCTTGCAGCAACAATAAATATTATCACTTGAGCTGACTGGCGTTGTGGGCACACTAACACCTGGCTTTTGTGGCTTACTATAGGAATGTGGACCACGCATGAAAACATCTATGAGCTGACAATGGGAGCTGTGAATAGGTAAAAAGAGTTAAAGTGATGTTTCAAATATACACATAGAAAATATGTGTGCTACTTGCCTCATTGTTATATCTAGATCGGTAACAACTTCTCCATCGCAATTCCAGCTGGAGTACTCCGAGCTGACCCCATCACTGCCGTTCTGAGCAATTGGCTGGCGAGAGCCCGCCAAGCTCAAGTTCTCCTCTGTTGCGGGCGTTGTTAATGTTCGAAAGATGAACTTACGTGTCCGGTAAACCTCAACAAAAGGTAAATTACGCTACAATTGGAATATAGAAAGTTTGCTAGTAAGTTCTTTTCTATATTATATTGTCAATACTTACAATATCGCCGGCTCGTCCCGCCGTATTCAGCAGGAACCGCACATTGTTGAGAAACGAAGTTTTGCGCACCAGAATCAGGTCCAAACAGCCATCCCCCAAATGACTATAGCGTGATATGCCATTGGGACTCCGTGCACAGGCGCACGTGATGTTGGCGCCGCAGATCAGAAAGAAATTGCCACGTATGGTCTTCCACTGCAGGCCGCTGGGCAGGCTCATGTTGGAGCCATATGAGCCGCCTGGCTGCAGTGGCAAGCTAGTCGGACGCAACAACTGAGACCGGTACAACGCCGTTTCGATTTCATTCAGCTGAGACTCGCAATTAACGGCAACGGTTGCGTCATCGTTTGGTTGCGCCTGCTGCTCCGCCAACTTCTTCTGCTGCTCTGCCTGCTGTGGCTGCAACTCATCTCGACTCTCATCAGCATTCGCAGCAAACAAGGTAGAACGCTGCTCCTGCAGCGAGCTGGCAATGCTGCAGCGCTGACAATTGGCATAGCACACAGACGGCGGCTCGGTGTAAACGCTGGCCGGACTTTGCGGCGTTTCCGGCTCTGTGGGTTCCTCGAGCAGCTGCAGCTCCGCGTCGTAGCCGCGATTGCTAAAGAATGCCTTGATGCCACTGTACTCATACCGTTTCGTGCCCATCCAGCGATACTGCTCACTTTCGGCCGCCACATCGCCCAGATAGCCATAGCTCAGGACGCTGGCGCAGAAGCGCAGCAGCGTGCGATTGTTGCTCACACTGCAGACGTCAAGCCCGCGCTTTTGGCCGAGCACCACATGAATGGCCGCAGTGCGCACGTCCGCGGTGCCGTGCATGCTGTAGACAATGGTGTCCGTGCTGCCAGCGGGTATCACGGCGACTGGCAAAGTGGGTCGTGGTATATAGGCTGGACGCTGTTCGTCCAGGCCCAACTCCCGCATGCGACGAAAGACCAGGCCATTGATGACCTCTGCGACGGTGCCGTCGCCTCCCACGCAGCAGACAGCCTCATAGCAGCTCAGATCATGGGTGAGCAGTATGTCTCGGATTTGATTGGCGCGCTGCGTCGTTATGCAGGTGGCATCGATGCCCGCCAGCTGAAAGAGCGGACGCACGAAACGCTCATAGGTCTGGGCGCCAGCCTTGCGCCCGCCAAATGGATTGATAAACACCAACAGGCGCTGCACCCGCTGGCCACCAGTTGGCGAGGACGC